CAATTTCCAGATTCTGTCAATATGAAGTTTAATATGAACAATTTCCAGATTCTGTACCTGGGAAGGGGCAACTCTGGCTATACAAAAATAATAATAATAATAAAAAAAAAAAAAAAGGCAACAGGATGATGGAGATCAGCCTCACAGAAAGGGATCTGGGGGTTTTGATTGGCAACAAGCTGAATATCTAAACATAATCCAGCAGTGTGCCTTAGCAGTCAGCCAACCATATCCTACGGTACAACAAGCACAGAATTGCTAGCCAGCCAAGCAAAGTGATTTTCCTGCTCTACTCCATGCTGGTGTGGCCTCACCTCAAGTACTGTTTACTGTTTTGGGTTCCATGGTGTAAGAAAGATATAAAACTGTTAGAGAGTGTCGAAAGGAGGGCTACAATGATGATGAAGGGTCTGGAGGGCACAACATATGGGGAGTGGCTGAAGTTACCCGGTTTGTTCAACCTGGAGAAGATAAGACTGAGGGGAGGCCTAATGGAGGCCTACTGCTTCCTCACAAATGGAGTGGAGGGGCAGGGTCTGATCTCTTCTCTCTGGTGAACAGCAATAGGACCTAGGTTGTTAGGTTGTTAGACACAGGAATAGGCTCCCCAGGGAAGTGGTCACAGCAACAATCCTGCCAAAGTTCAAGAAGAGTTTGGACAAAGTTCTCAGACACATGGTCCAATTTTCTGTGTGGTCCTCTGGGGACCCAGCATTTGGCCTCCCTGATCCTCGTTGGTCCCTTCTAACTTGGGATATTCTATTATTCTTTGATATGGTGATCTACCTGTAACTCCAATTCATACACAATCTTGTTCCTTCTAAACTATCTTTGAGATGTAGAGTACTCCAGCCCAAACTGACATTAAGATGACCACATTTCCTTCTTCTCAGGACTCTGATGTCAGCTCTGAGGCCAAATAAATCCTCAGTCATAACCATGAATGGATAACCATTCTTTTTTATGATTCTGCAATTATGAATATGTGAGTCATATTTTTTTTCTCAAATTCACTTCCCTTGTTCTTCATATATTAATGGGTTTTAATTGTTTTTTTTTTTGTTTGTTTGATTGTTTTAAATTATTTTTGCATTGTAGAGTACACAGATTTTCGTTTTGTATATTAAGCGCTTTATCTTAGTTGCTTAATTAATGTCTTTCCAGATGATACATCTAGATTCCAGTTCAGATTTAGATTTAGAGAATAAGTTATTCTACTCATTATATGCCCATCTAATAAAAAAGGTACCTAGTCATGCCTGGATCTTAAATTTGGGCCTGGTCACAACTGTTCTTTACATGTAGAATCCTTATAAAGAAGCAGTAAGAAATAAAGTGGGTGTTTTTTGTGTTTTAATACCTTTTTTTTTTTTTCTTTTTTTTTTTTTCTTTTTCCATTTCTCAGTTACAGGAGGAATGAATGCATTTCACCTTTAAGAAGTAATGTCTCCAATGAATACCGCCTGGCAATACTCTGAATAGAATCTAAAGGTCAAGTGTTGTCTTTCCTTTGGTTATTAGTTCTTTTTTCTACAATGAGGAGTGGGGGGTAGGGTGGAGGTTGTGAGGGAGAAGAAAAGTAGATCTCTACATAACTTTACTAATCAGTCTCTCTGCACCCTTAGATCAAGAAGCAGATTTAATTAATTTCATGTATATTTCATGTATCAGGCTTATGTGGCAAGGTTGTGGTAGCAAGAAGGCTGCAGGGGTGGCCTCTGTGGGTACAGAAGTTGACATATGTTAGATAACAGCCAGTTCCAGATGACTCAGAAATGGACCTGACACTGGCTAAAGCTGAGTCAATGAGTGATGTTGGCTGAACTTCTCTAAAGACATATTTCACAGAATCACAGAATTGTCTAGGTTAGAAGAGACCTCAAGATCATCGAGTCCAACCTCTGACCTAACATTAACAAGTCCTCCACTAAACCATATCGCTAAGCTCCACATCTAAATGTCTTTTAAAGACCTGCAGGGATGGATAGTGACTCCACCACTTCCCTGGGCAGCCCATTCCAATGCATCACAACCCTTTCAGTAAAGAAGTTCTTCTTAATATCCAACCTAAAACACCCCTGCCGCAACTTTAGCCCATTCCCCCTCATCCTGTCACCAGGCATGTGAGAGAATAGACCAACCCCCACCTCACTACAGCCTCCTTTAATGTACTTATAGAGGGTGATAAGGTCACTCCTGAGCCTCCTCTTCTCCAGGCTGAACAAACCCAGCTCCCTCAGCCGCTCCACATAAAACTTGTTCTCCAGACCCCTCACCAGCTTCATCGCCCTTCTCTGGAGTCTTTTGAACACCTCGATGTCCTTCTTGTAGCGAGGGGCCCAAAACTGAACATAGTACTTGAGGTGCAACCTCACCAGAGCTGAGTACAGGGGGATGATCACTTCCCTAGCCCTGCTGGCCACACTGCTTCTTATGCAAGCCAGGATGCTGTTGGCCTTCTTGGCACACCTGAGCACACTTCTGGCTCATATTCAGCTGACTATCCACCAATACACCCAGGTCCTTCTCCACCAGACAGCTTTCCAACCACTCATCTCCCAGCCTGAAGCTCTGCTTGGGGTGGTTGCGCCCCAGGTGCAGGACCTGGCACTTGGCCTTGTTGAACTTCATACAGTTGACCTCAGCCCATTGTTCCAGCCTATCCAGATCCTCCTGCAGAGCCTTCCTACCCTCGAGAAGATCGACACAGATTTAGTGTGAAAACAACACACTTTGATATTTTGTTGGCCTCTTTTTCAAATTCTCTTTTGATTTCCAAAAACTTTCTCAACCTTCCATAGGATCCCTCTATCTGAGGCTGGAAAACAGGCCAGATTAAACTAAAATAGGGGAGATATAGAGAAGATGTTAGGAGGAAATTTTTTACTCAGAGGGTGATAAGACATTGGAACAGGTTTTCCAAAGAAGTTGTGGAAGCACCATTTCTGGAGGTGTTCAAGATGAGGTTGGATGAGGCCCTAGACAACTTGATCTAGTAGGTGGCATCCCTACCCATGGCAGAGGAGCTGGAACGAGATGATCTTTAAGGTCCCTTCCAACCTAAGCCATTCTATGATTAGTCACAGACATTAATATCAATATATTTCCACAAGCCAGCCGCTGAGACAGAAACACTTACAGGTCATCACTAGTGTCAGAAGACATACCAATTTTCTCCGTGATCTTGGAGATCAGTATTACAAAAAAAAAAAAAACAAAAAACAAAAAACAACAAAAAAAACCCACAAACATACCAATTAAATGATTCTAAATAAAGCAGCAGGTTGCACATTGTCATCTTAAAGTTAACATCTTGTTAACTTTAGAGGTGTGTTAAACTTGTGATAAACTGAAAATAAACTGAAAAGAGAAACATAGTAGAAAGTTACTCATTAAAACTCCATCAAGAACTCATACTTGAAAAAGTGCAAGGTAATTTTTCTCATATCTATTAAGCTGCTTGAAGGGATCATTAAGAGTATTTCTCCCAAAGAGCAAGATCGATTAGAGGTTGTCTGGTATAAGATTTAAACTCATTAGAGAACAAGAGCTTTCTTCCTTTGCAAGTGCTTGCAGAGTGATTTAATCTCTGTATACTATACAACAGTGATTACAACAAATGTAGAAGACCTAAATACTGAAAATTACCAGAAGATATATCAAGATTATTATTTATAGTATTTTGTTTTTCTTGTCATCAGAGTTTGATATATCATTTTATTTATTTATTTATTTATTTATTATTAATAATTTGTCTATTTTATAAATACAAAATATTTGTACGTCAACCTAACTGACAGAAGAAATCAAAAGTTTCTAAATTTCAAAAAAGTACTGGGGAGACCTAGGAATTTTATACAGAAATATATTCTGAATGAAAAATGCTGCTCAATATAATTAAAAGTTTCTGGATGAAAAGTACGACTTTCAATGCACAGTACAAATGCTGCCTGTTTCTACTTGCAAAGTTTAACTTTACATGTTTCACCTAGTTTGCTGTTTCCATTCTTCCTCCATCCTATGACGAAAGAGGTGAGGGGAAGGGCAGTATTTTTATGTTTGACAAAAGCATGAAAGTATTTTTTTTTTTTTTTTTTGGAACTAGAATTTGGAACTAGAAGCCACCATTTTTTTTTTGGTATATTTTCCCAGATAGGGAATATACCTTTTCCTCAGTCTGGTTCGGGCAGAAAACAGTGAAATCTTCATATCAAATAATTAAAACTTGAAAAAAAAAATATGTTAGAAACAGTACTTATTATGAAGTATTTTAGGAAATATTACTATGCACAATAGTGACAGTTTTCTTGATATAAAGTATTTATTTTATATATATTTTATTTATATATTTTTTTTAAACTTCTGAATTATTTCATTGGATCTCTGCAGACTTTTGTACCTCACTGTTAGTTCTTTTCAAAAGAGTCATGCTCTATATGTAAAAAGAAGAAAAGAATATGGTCCTTTTCAGAGTCCAAGTTTATTTCTGAAGCAAGGATTATTCCATCAGGTCTTTCAAAATTCCCAGTAGACTTTACTGTCAGTGAAATTTCAAAGACTTTGCTTATACAGAGACCATCAGATAACACTAAGGGTCTTTGAAATGGTGTCTAAGAAATTAGAAAGAGTTCTCTACCTGAGAAAGAACTGCTGAGTACTAGAGAACTTCTCACCATAACATATGCATGTATTCTTGCCTACAACTATGGATCTATGGATATATGCACATACTGGAGCTACAAAAAAAAAAAAAAAATCAGGCAGATTTTTGGGGAGATTCTCAGTTTAAACTGGGAATTCTCAGACAGACTCTCAAAGACACTAATAGTATCCTAGGATAAAGAATAACATACTCAACTTCTCTGCCTAGATGCATATTAGCAGAGGTGTTTGTTTGTTTTTTATCATGATGAGTAGAATAGAACTGGACAGAACAGAACAAAACAAAACAGAATAGTACAGTTGGAAGGGACCTACAAAGACCATTAAGCCAAACCAACCTCATCGTTGTCTGCCTGACCACCTCTGGAGGTAGTCATGTATCCCGCACTTGTGAATCATGTTTTCTGATGCCTTCCCCTTCTTTGGAAAATGTTCATCACTTTAATTTACATATGAAATCTACCTGGAATAAAAAAGAAAATCAATGAGCATTTGACAGTTGACCAGCATTAGCTTTGTATGATTTGTTATCATGACAAAATTCTTTATCTAACTTGTCCTGTCTGGGTTTTTAGAATAAATCCTGTAAGGTCAGACTATTCAGTGAACCTCCAAGTTAATTTAGTTCTGGACACATCCAATATGTGTGACCATGATTAAAGGTTTTTATTTCTGCATTTTCAGTAGGCTGGGATTCATTCTTTTAACAAGTTACTAGTCTTTCTTTACATGAAAAATAGTAATTATTGAGAACTTTGGATTTTATCTGTGACCATTCAGATTGTTTCTCCGCTATGTTAAAAGTCTTCTACACCAGGGGAGTAAATGCAAAATGGAAACAAAGTTATAAGAACTCATTGTATGGAAGTTAGGTTTCTCCTTACAGGCAGGGGAAGACAATAATTCAACAGGATGAAATGGTCTGTGAACAAAACAGTTATTACTTTAAAATGTAATTTCTACCATTATCTTTACATACCTATGTTATTTTTATTTACAAGTGATCATAGAACAAATGACTCAAGTTGGAAGGGACTTTAAAGATTACCTAGTTCCAACCGCCCTGCTGGGGTCAGGGATTCAACCCACTACATCAGGTTGCCCAGGGTTTTGTCCAACCTCTGAACCAGGCATCCACAAGATTAACTGGTATCTGGAAATTCTCCAGTAACTGCATCATCTTAAAATACTACAATTTTCTTTAAACTCCTCCTATTTTCTTATTTCAGAACAGATATCTTCCAAATGCAGCTGAAAGTTTTACTGTTAGAATTTTCAAAACAAGTAAATAAGTAAATTAAATATATCTCTTTTATACATTTTTTCCCCCCAGTTGTGATAATGTTAGAGTTTTCCTAGATATTTAGTAAACAATAAGGGTATTCTTATAAAAGAGCTCAGAAGTAGTTGAAAACCACCATTCTTTATTCTTTAATTCTTTAGAAAGGCTTCCTGGTTAAATTTCTAGGTTATGCAAATCCCTGAGCAAGGATTTGCCTCATCCTCAAGAGATACAGTAACTCAGGCATGACTTTCAAACACCTTTATTTCTTGCTTTCCTCTTCATTCTCAGGAAGAAGCAGCTGTGGTCCATCTCACTAATGAGTTGCTCTCCTTCAACTGAGCATTAACATAGATGTTAAAAAGCTACTCAGACAGTGCAGAGGGATAGCCAAAACTATCCCCTGTAGGGGCTGACAGATATGAGGTTGTTCTCGTTTCAAAAATTTTTTATCTTCTATCTGAACTCTCATATTAAAATGATTGCAGTTTTTAAGTTCCATGTGACTCAAGTCATATGACCAGAGAGTATTATGAGTACTGTGTATTTTTAATGACATACAAGCTGCAGTGAAAGAGAATTTTTTTTTATTTGTTTGTTTTTGTTTGTTTGATGTGTATATAGTACATGTTTCCTGTGAACTGCAGCTTTATGGGGAGAAGCAAAAGAGTGAACAGGAGGTGGAAAAATGATTGAATCATTTCTATTAAATTAAATTCAGTTAAACAAGAGCAGGTGCCACATCAAACATGCAGCAAAGCTGATTCAGTTTCTTGCAGTTAATGAGTTTAGTTTTCACGGAGGTTTTGAGAATACCAGACCTGGCCATTCATCTGCTGAGCAGTGCTGGAAATTATTTATATTTTCTATGCAAAAAGATCCAAAATAAAAATATTTTTTGGATACAATTTGCCAAAGAGCACACATATGAAACAACTTTATTAACACAATTAAAAGAATAGTTGTAGAATAAATTATGGACACAGACTGAAAAAAAAGACACAGATGGATTTTTTCTTCTCCATTTGAAACATGATAAAACAAAGGATATGAGCTGTGCAAAAGTATCTAGCCTTATACATCATTTTGCAAGTCAGCTGAGAGCTATGTGTTCAGGCAGTTTTGAATTGGAAAATATATGAGCTGCAGCATGCTGTTTATGTCACCAGCGAGCCTGAGTGAACAAGTCCCTCTAGGCTTCTACGTTACATATCAGAAGGTGTCATCACTAGCAGATTTTTTCTTCAAATTGAAAATGAGAAAAAAAAAATAAAAAATCAGTGAGGAAAAGGGGAAAAGAAAGGCAAGAGATGTAGTGTGTACTTCATTGTTCTTCAAATACCAGTTTAGCACCCAAAGGCACTAATAAGAAAAAGTTCCTGTTATGCCTGTTTTGTGCAAATACAAAATTTAGAAAGCTGGAAAACATGTTTTTTTTTATAGAGAAAGCTTCCATAAGGGAAACCTCTTTAGGAGTATTTGTACCTTCTCTCATTCTTTCACTCTCTATGTTTTTCTGTTCTTAATCCTTTCTTTGTTAAACACCTTTATTTGAAACATCTAATAAATAGCTTTCCTTTCATCTCATCTGGACCAGACTTTTTTTTTATTTTTTTTGATTTTTTTTTTTTTTTAAGATAAAAATAAGACATCTAAATTTCTGCTAACCAAACTCTCTTTAAGAATTCTTTGAGTGACCTTTCCACTGAGGTCACTAAGAATACGTTGAGTGACCTTTCCACTAAGACAACAATTATATAAAAAACATAATTTCATACATCAGGACACCAAAAGATAGAAACAATAAAGGAAGTTTCCATTTTTCACTGACTTACATGACTGAGCAGCTATATTCTGGGAAATAGGTGTTTTGTTTGGTTTTGTTTTCTTGAGAGTTTCTTAAATTTTAGTCTAATGAAATCAATATTTCCTGTCATTCACAATTCCTTGTTTTCATTAATTAAAAGATGAAAATTTTGAAGACATTTGTAAGCAAATCAGTTATCTAGGTTCTCTTTATAATCAATAAAGAGAAATGGACTTTTCATGAGCTCTCTTTTACATTGAGGTTTTCTAGTTTGTGGTCTAGATTTCATTTATTATCAATAAAGAGAAACAGGCACTCTAGCACTGCAATTCATTTAATCCTGACATAGATATCTGACAAAGATAAATTACCTCAGAGTGAGTTGCTCTATACTTGGAGTTGTATTACTTTTTACTGACTGTAAAGATGCAATGTTTTCAGATATAGGCATCAAAATCATAGATTTTGAAATCTAGGAGAGATTTTAATTTTGTAAGCCATAGCAAAACCTCCTGACAATATATGGATTATAGTTTCTCTTAATTAATAGAAAGCATTTTCTTCTTGGAGTTCATGTTCAGTAAAAAGAACAATGAAAACACTCCTTGATGTTTTTCAGTATAAGTAGCCTTTAAAGAGTATTAAAATCCTGAATATGTCCATTACCATGTCTCAATGTACAAGACTCATTTCTCTTCTGAAGACCGTTTCTCTTGAGCACTATTTCACCATGTTTTTTTCTATGAAATTGTATTCAGATTTTGTGACTGATTGATTTCTACTAAAGAGAGAAGAAACAAACAAACCTGCTGAAAAAAAAAAAAAATAATGCTGATTGTATACAACTTGTTTAATTTCCTAGAGATATCATAGAACACATCTTCATAAGGGTAGAACTAACCTGTTGCATGATGGTCTAAAGAGATATCTCTAGTATGGAATATTATATCATATGATAGTTTCTTTCCTTCCTTCCTTCCTTCCCTCCTCCCTTCCTTCCTTCCTTCCTTCCTTCCTTCCTTTCTTCCTTCCTTCCTTCCTTCCTTCCTTCCTTCCTTCCTTCCTTCCTTCCTTCCTTCCTTCCTTGTTTCCTCCATCATAGTAAAACCTCTGCAGTCACAATTAGAGTGAAACTAATACATAATTCTGAAACTAATTGCATTTCAGTGATTAAAATTGAACTTGAAACTATTCTTTTTTTCCATGTTTCATGTTTTATTTTAGAATTCGGTATTGGGTTGTATAGTTTGTGTTCCAATTTCTTCAAGACTGTAACCATTTTTAAAAGATATTTTTTTTTCTTCTCAGCAACACCTTCAGTGTCTTTCCCAAGTCACAGATAGTGAGATTAAATCTCACTATTATATTTCAACATTTTTTTTCTCACCAGTGTGTAAACCACTTACTCCTTGACAAAAAACTCCTTGAGTCAGAAATAGCCAGACTTTATCTACTGTCTAAGGTTTTCTGCTTTGCCCCTCAGCATTTTTTAGAAATCTTCTTGTAGATTTAAAATCTTCTCTTTTGATGTTCAGTGTCTCTTTCCCATACCCTTAAGTTGTATCAATCCATTGAGGTCTTACATTTTCAAAGGAAGATGATTACAGCACTGTCAAAAAATTACATCTATTGAACGTTACTTCTGAAAACACCCAAAACGTTTCCTGCTCATAATTTGCACCATCTCCACTTCCCTTTTCCCTCTCCTATGTATTTTTGTTCAGTTCCTCTATTTTGTTTCTTCACCAGAGCTCTGTACCAAATTTGCCACTCAGGTAAAATGTTAGCTCTGATAGAGCCATTCCGTTTTATGCTTTGAGAGCATCTGACGAGATAGTTCAACTGTTTGTGTCAGTGTTCCCTGTGCTTGTTCTGTCCAAATGAGTCTGATTAACAAAGATCTACTATTTCAAATGTTTAGGTTAATCTCTTTTTCTTTAGCAGGTATGGGTTATATGTAAGAAATGTAGACAGGCAGATCAGAGGACAAAATTTATACCAGCAGGATAGTGAACAGATTCTGTGGAAGAAACAGTATAGTAATTGCTTCACATTTGGATGTTTGGTTGTGGTCTCACATTAAAAACAAAACAAAACAAAGAAACAAACAAAATACCACCACCACCACCAACAACAAACGCAATCATCATCATCCAGTGTTAAAGAGACATATTTTTCTCTCTTTGCTGGCATTACTGTATGACAGCTGGGGTTTCCACTATTTACCCTTTAGAAATACTTCATTTCATTATAATGGTGTTGTCTTTGTTTGTTTGTTTGTTTGTTTGTATGTTTTTTTCCTATGGTTTTTCAGACAGACTTTCTTCTTTCAGCACAGTATTAAAAACTGGATCACACCCTCCATTCACCTGCC